TGGTCTCTCTCAAAATATCTTACTGTACTCACCGCTTCGCTTAAAGGGAGTACTTCACAGCGTCTCGCTGGTGTGCCTCCTGCACTTTGGGGCCACTCAGAAAAATCAGGGTGACTCGAATACAAGCACTGCGACACCACAGCAATCAGTCTGATAGCCCAGAGGGCTACTAAGTGACTCAGGGCACACAATTTAAAACTTATGAATTGTTTATTTCTGGAAGTTTCCATCTAATATTTTCAGACTGCATTTGACAGCAGGTAACTGAAACCGTGGATAAGGGGGAACTACTGTCCTGAGTGACTACCAAGGTAGTGATGAGAGCAGCTGCCATTAACTAACTGGGTGCCTACTCTAGAACACTTGGCAGCTTCTCCTTGCAACAGCCATTAAGTTAGGTACCATCACTGTCACCCTTATCCTCACTCCATGCCTCAAACAGCTGATTCAATGCCTGTTGCTAAAAGTGCCAGCGTAAGGATTCAAACTCGGCTTGCCTGACTCCTGTGTTCTTTCATCTCGCCAATCAACCGAAGTCAGGTGTCAAGGCAAGGAGAGGGTAAGTGCAGAGAGTGATACAGCTACAGAGAGGTTCAAGGAAGGAGACGACAAGACCCAAGGAGGGAGGAAACCTCATTTGCCTTCCTGACTAAACCAGTGTTTAAAAAAAAAAAAAGACTCCAGTGCACATTGCCATTGGCTGACCTACCTGGTGTAAGGGAGACAAGCAGGGAGAAGAGGAATCACCCTGAGAGTCAGGGAGAAATCCGACTCCACGCCTTCCTCTCCACCCCCCATCTTCCTCCCTCCCAGAAGGCGTGGTCTTAAGTTTCCACTTAGTGATATTTATAAAATATTAAAAATTAAACCTGCAGAAGCCCCTCTCTGTTAATATCCTCCAAGGCCTGACTTGGAAAAAGATCCTGACAAAACTATGATTCTTTTTATTGTACTGGAAGATACGCGTAAAATACATACTATCATTTTATTTTTTAACATTTCATTTTTTATCTGAATATTACATTTCACTGCCATATGGCAACTAGTTTATTAAAGAAAGAACCGGCTTCTATTGCAAATGAGTTTCCAGAATGCTGCTCCACTCTGCACAGTACAGAGATGTATGTATTATATCCCCCCACAAGGCACAGAAGGACCCAAGGCCCAGGAAGGTAAGCACCGAGCTTGGGCTTGTGAGAGGCAGAAAGGTAAGAGTATGAATTAAGAGAATAAAAGAGAAGGGAAAGATGGCAAAGAGCCTGCCTCAATAACGTTCTAAAAATGTCAGAGGAGAGCATGGAAGAAAACGGGGAGAGGAGGAGAGGGAGAGGGGATGGGGTGAAGTGGTACCAAGCGCAACAGAAAAAGTAAAGTAAATGAAAGACCAAGAAGGCAGAAAAACCAAAATTACAAATCCTAAAAAAAAAAAAAAAAAAGTCAGTCCAAAGGAGGAAGTGTCACAAATAGCAAAACAGATGGCTGGATGGAGGAGAGGTGGCCTACATGGTGGACAAGAAGCTTCCTGCCCCCTCACCACCAGCTCCCAACCCCAGGGCCTTTCTGGAGCCCTGTCCCTCTGATGCTTCCCAGGCTCTCGTTTAAGAAGAATGACCCCCTCGCTTGACTTCCAGCAGAGGAGGGGCCAAGCCTCCCCCAGGGTGCTTAATCCACCATATTGTAATGAGCTGTTTTCTTGTTGGGGTCCCTGACATGTGGGGAATTCCTGGGGGCCAGAGGCCACGTCTTACTACTATCTGTATCTCCACAGCCCAGGGTAGTTCCTGGAAATAACAGATGCTCCATAAGTATTAAAAGAATGTATGAACAAATGAATGAAAGCCAGTCTGTCACAGAGCTACCCAAACAGCAGAGAGGTTCAGGGGACAGGCACTGGGCCTGAAGAGAGAAGGGTCTCAGCATGGGATAGCTGGCTCCTGCCGCCCAGTGCAACAGGAAGCCTCAGAAACTTCTCTCCTCGTAGAAGTAAATGTCCACCCAGCAAGCCTGGCTCAGTTTCTGCACAATCCTGGTTCCAATCCTATGCTGACCTCACCCCGCTGTTATGAGGCTGAAAGCTGATCGCTTTAGAAACTCAGATGTGCTCGCTTTCTCCAGGAACATGAACTTTCTCTGAATCTCTAAGTAAACTCCTCAAATTGTCAAAATACTTGTCGTATGATCAATTTTTTTCTCCTTCGTGCACAGGATACTCCCTGGGTCTTGTCTTCCCAATGTTTTGATTTCAACACCCCACACCCCTCCCTCTGCTTGCCAAGCGGACAGCATCTCCCCACAGCCCGGCCCAGACTTGTTTCATGCACAGCAACTCGACTGTCAGTAGAAAGGGGGGCTCCGGTGCCTGCAGGTCTTGTCGCTCTTACCGCTTTCCTTTCAGGTACCCCTAGCACCTGGAGCCCCAGGGGACCAAGCCCGGCCCCTTCCTAGCCGCTTTCTCTCTGTGGAAACCACAACTAGAGTGTGATCAGTTAGAAAGAGTCACTAGCCTTTTTCAGATTTCTCTGGAAGTATAAAGAAACAGGTGACTCTAAAGGCGTCTATCATTTCCAAGTCCTTTATAAACAAAAGGTGACTTACAATTCAAACAAACTACATATATAGTATATGTATATAGATATGTTCAAATTTTAGTTTGAAATGCATTGATTACGTCAACTTTATAAACCAGATTTAAGCAGAGTAGCTCATGCATGTGACTTAAAAGATGACTACTGACCCTTACAAAGTGAAACAAAAGTCCCTCTTGTTGGAGGGTGGCGGGAGACTCCTCCAGGTTCCCGGAGCCCACATCTGCCTGGGTCTGGAAAGCACAGCTGTGCGCGCATGTTCTCATCGCATACTGTACCTTCCCGGGGGAGTTCGGGAATGAGCCGTTCCTAAGACTCTGGGAATGCAGCAGGCTCCGAAGCCTGCGCTGGCAAGGAGGTGAGGGAGCGCTGTTTACTCTAATGCGTAGAGCACATACGTGGAGAACGGACCTGCCAACCCCGCCTCCCCGCCTCTCCCTTTGCCCTATAGACGCCTAAGAGAAAGAGAGCTTCTAAAAGTCACATCTTGCTAATCACTATTTCTGACCCAAGTGGTCATACATCTTGGACCCCTTACGCATTGTCCACCTAGCCCCCTGGGGGTCTAGCAGACATCCCTGACAAACAGAAGCTGTCGTGCCGTTTGATGGCTTCTTCCTCAAAAGGCGGATCCTCCTGATGGCATGGCCCATATTCCCAGCAGGACTCCTCTTCCTAGGGCTGTCTCCAAAGGTCAGCCCAGCCCCTGGGAAGCGGAGCCTGAGGTCTGGTGCTTTAGAGCCAGCGAGTGACCTCCACAGGGCATCCCAGGTAGCAGATGAACAACAGCTGCTTTGCCCATTAAGATATACTGTTCTCAGCCTTTGCTTTCTTCCCCAGGCAATCTGGCTGCCAAGTTGGCCTGTGTGCAGAGGTCAAGCCACCTCCTTTGTAGTTTCCCCATGACTCAGGCGGTGCTTGCAGGGCTGGGCAGTGGCAGCTCTATAGACCTCAGTTGGAAGAATGAGCGCAAGGAAACAGACTCGGGCCAAAGACCTCCCTAGAGAAACCAGGTGGTGGGAGGGGAAGGCTGGGAAAGGAGGAAGTTCAACTCCAGGAAGGGACTAGCTGTGCCAAATGGGTTAGTGTAGAAGACTCCAGCTCCAGCCCCAAGTGCGCCAGTCCAGCTTCGAGGGGCCATGTGGAAACTGTGGAGACCCAGAGCCCCACAGGTCACCACGGATTCTGTGCCATCCCCAGAAGGCTGTGGCTAAAATAACAAAGCAAGGGCATGGCACAGATTCAAGTCACAACCCCCAAAATCCGAGGGAGCAGGTCACATGAATGCCCTCTTCCTCCCAGTCTCCCGTATCTATGAAATTTTAAGAGTCTAAAAACTTCACAGTACTCCAACATCTACAAATGTAAATTTTCACAGATCCGTAGCAAAAGGCAGAGCTGCTTTTCTGATCTGCTTTCCAATCCCATTACCCAGTCTCTTTCCAACTAGGGTCTTTAAGTGCCCTTTACTGCACTCACACCGCTTCACCCTGCCAGGGGCAGAAGCTGGAGCGCTGCAGTCAAGGGCACCCAGTGAAGTTCCAGTGATTCCAGGTCATGAGCAACCTTGCCCGCTCTGTTCTGCGGCGCACATCAGGGCAAACGGGTCACCCTCCACCAACAAGGTCATGGGAAAACTGAAAAGAGATCTCCCCAGCTCAGCTCCAAGTGAAACCCCAAGCTCCAAACAGGTGCCCTAACTAGTCCCCCTGCTCTGAATGCACTGGAAGACCTTCAAATAGAAGACAGGCCCAGCCCAGAAGGGTGTAGAAAGGCAGCAATGACAGAGGGAATGGTCCCAGTACTGGAGTCTGTCCTTTCACTGTAACCTACAAAATATCCCAAATGATTCCCTCCATCCCAATCCAGGTTTTCCCAGACCCAGAACAGAGAGGATACCTGAGCGTGTTGCCCATGAGAAATGTAGCCAGGCGCTTAACTGGGCCCTTTGGATCACCTTCCAGCTCTACAAGCAGAGGGAGGAAACCTAGGTGTCTGAAGCAACTTAGGCGCCCGGGTAGAAAGGGGCGGACTGTTCCCGCCCTCTCCAGTGCCATCCTCAGAGCGCCCCCTATCGGCCTCAAAGACAAACTGCGGCTCCTGGGCGGCAGCTTCCTGGGCGCCGGCCCCTTGGCGCCGACTCCAGGAGGCGCTGATTGGCCACGCCGGGCCCACACCTTCCAGGGAGCAGGCGCCCCGCTGACCGCCCACGTGCGTCCAGACGCACGCGAGCCAGGGCTCTGCTGAGCAGAGGAGCGGGCTCTCCCTGCAGGATCTAAAGTGAGAATTGGAAGAGATCAAGGAAACTTGAACTCGGGAGACACTGCGCGGCACAAAGCGCATTTGGAGAGCTAAGGGCAGTGACCTTATGAAAGTGAAGGTATGTAGGTCCAGAGAGGTGACAGGTCAACTTACCTGCCTGGTGAAGAGGATGGCGGTGTCCCAGTACTCGGGGTGCTTGTCGCTCACTTTGTTCAGCTTCTTCTGCCAGGCACAGAAGTTGCGCAGCGTCAAGGCTGCGTTGCCTGTGACCTTGGGCCCAGCGTCGCGGTCTCCGAGAAGCAGCACCTTGACCACGACGATGCTGATGGGGTTAAGAATGCTGGGATGGCGGTAGAGTCGCGCCGCGGTGGCCAGCAGCGTCAGCAGATAATGCTCCAAGTCCTCGCCGTGGAACTTGACCATTGACTCGTCCGCCACCACCAGTGTCTCCACGTACCGCGGGATGGACACGAAGCGCTTGGCGCGCCCAGACCTGCGCCGGCTGCGACTCTCCCCTAAGCCGGTCCGCCGAGGCTTGTAAGGGTCGAGAGCCCGCAGGATGGCGGGGTTCCAGCCTGAAGCCACCCCGCAGCGGGAGGTGGGATCCCCGGGAGGCCCGCCAGGGGCGCCGCGGCGCTGGAGGAGGTGTGCGCCCTGGCTGTTGCGCTGCGCCGCCGGCGCGCTGGCGTTGGGCAGCGGGCTAATGACATACTCAGCGCCTCGGTAACCGAAGGCGCCGCGTAGCCCCCCGCACAGGCTCACGGCAGCGAAGGAATCCGGCTCGGCGTTCACGTCCCCGGAGTAAAAGCAACGTCGCAGGTCTGGCGAGTTCCCGGGGAGCCCCTGGAGGGGGACACCCAGATGCTCAGTGGCGAAGGCGGGAGCCAGGAACTGAGCATCCGGCGTCAGGTGTAGGTAGAAGTCCTCCCGAAACGCCGTGATCTGAAAAATGAGCCCCTGATCCCCGGGGTCCTCGGGACCCCGCCGGTAGTACTGGCGGCCGTTGATGTCCGGGTCCAGTCGGATGGGCACCACCACCTCCCGCTCTGGCTCTGAGCCGCCCGCGGGTCCCCCGGCGAGCGCCAGGGTTAAGATGCCCAGCAGAAGCATGGCGCCGGGAGGCGCACACCCGGGCTCCCGCAGCGGCCGCCCGCACGCTCTCCGTGCAGCCC